CCCCGTGTTGGGCACAGCCGGTTCCAGCTCCAGGATGGATCTGATACTGGTCAAAGCTGAGACAACCAGCAGCGCTGGGAGCCCCTCTGTGATATTTAAGAATGGCTAAAAAAATGCTGTGCAGAAGCTGGGATAGAGAAAATGGGAGTGTGAAACAGCCCTGCAGACCCCAAGGTCAGTGAAGAAGGAGAGGGAGGAGGTGGCCCAGGAGCCAAAGCAGAGATTCCCCTGCAGCCCGTGGGGAAGGCCATGGTGACACAGGCTGTCCCCCTGCAGCCCACAGAGGCGTCCACCGTGTGCTGCCGAGTGGGTGAGGGTTGGGCAGCTGGCACTACGGAGGAGGAAGAGGCAGAGAGAGGAGTGTTGGGGTGGTGAAGGTCTCCTGCCAGCACCGGGAGCTGTGGCGAGGTGCACGTCCTCTCCTCTGTGTCCCGGCCCATCTCTGCCACCCTTCTTCAGATGTCTGCCTGCCTCCCTGCCTCTGTCTCCCTCTCTGCCTGCCCACCTACGTGTACGGCTCCTCAAAACTTGTTATTCTTCTGCCAACTCTGCCCAGTACCCTGTTGCCTTTTAAATTTTTAATATGTCTCTCTCTAACCAGCTTCTCCCTGTTTTTCATTTTTTTCCGCACCACCTTATACCCTGCTACTTTTTAAATTTAATTTCTGTGTCTTCCCCTATCTGTCTCCCTGACCCTATACGTTAATTCCTCCCTCTCTGTCCTGTACCCAGTTGCTTGGGACTGGCTGGGCATCAGTCAGTTGGTGGTGAGCAACTGTTTTTGTTTGCATTGCTTGTTTTTCTTGGGTTTTCTTTTCCTCTCTCTCTGTTTTTTTTGTTTTGGTTTTTTTTGTCTTACAACTTTTTAAAAATATCCTTTTAATTATCAAACAGTTTTTGTATCAACCCATGAGTTTCTCACATTTACACTCCCAATTCTCTCCAAATCCCACTGTGGGGGAGTAAGTGAGCAGCTGTATGGTACTTAGTTGCCAGCCAGGGTTAAACCACAATGCTACAGCTACTTTTATGGAGCTGCCTATTGCTGTTTTTAATTATTTCCTGTCTGTTGTGTACCCTGTTGCTTTTTAAAATTTTCTTTCTATGGCTACTTTTATCCAGTTCACTGTCTATATATTTTTAGGTTTTTTCATCTCTGTCTTGCACCCCATCGTTTTTTAAATTTTCTTTCCATATCTCTGTTTATCTAGTTTTTCTCTCCCCATTTCTTTAATTTTTTCCTGTCCTGTATGCCACCATTTTTTATATTTTCCTTCTATGTCTACTTTTATCAAGCAGTGTGTCACAGCTTTTTGATTCTTTCCTGGCTGTCATGTACCCTGCCACTTCTTACATTGTCTTTCTATGTGTCTCTCTATTATTCACCTTATCCTTTTTTTTTCCCTAGCCTTTCTTTAATGCTGTCACTGTTAAAAATTATCTTTCTATGTCACCTTTTATCCAGTTCACATTGGTTTTTAATTTTTTTCCTGTCTTGCACTTCATCACTTTTAAATTTCCTTTCTATTTCTCTATTTATTTAGTTTGCTGTCACTATTTTTTAATACTTTGTCTGTCCCGTAGCCTGTTGCTTTTTAGATTTTGTTTCTACATCTTCATTTCTTTAGTTTGCCGTCCCTATTTTTCCTTATTCCCATCACTTTTAAAAATTTTCTTTCTATCTATCTCTGTTAACCAGTTCTCTGTCCCTATTTTTTAATTCTTTCCTGTCCTGTACCGCACCACTTTTTAAATTTTCCTTCTATGTCTACATTTATGAAGCTGCATATTACTGGTTTTTAATTCTTTCCTGTCTGTCCTATACCACATCACTTTTAAAATTTACTTTCTATGTATCTCTCTCTTTTTCAGCCTATCAATATTTTTTAATTTTTTCCTTTGTCTTACACTCCATTGCTTTTAAAATTTCCTTTCTATGTCTCTGTTTTAGTTCGCTGTCCCTATTTTTTTATCTTTTGTCTCTGTCATGTAGCCCATTGCTTTTTAAAATTTACTTTATATGTGTCTCTATTTTTCACCCTATCCTTAGTTTGTAATTTTTTCTTGCCTTTCTTTAATGGCATCACTTAAAAGTTTTTTTTCTGTATCAGCTTTTATTGTGTTGCTGTCCCTATTTCTTAATGTTTTCCTGTCTTCTGCCCTGTTGCTTTTAAAATATTCTGTCTACTTTTATCTAGTTCACTGTCTTTGTTTTTTAATTTTTTCTTCTCTGTCCTGTAAAAGGAACTAGGCCTTAAGCTTTATTGTTTCTAAGACTATTCATATTAGACATATAACTAATAATTAGAAATTGTTTTAGATATAATTAATAGAATGCAGGTGCTTATAAAATAATATGCATAAGCTGCTCATTTATCCTATGCATCTCCCCTTCCATGGCTGGCTTGAAACCCAGTCAAGCTGAATCAACAGAAGAAGGATCATACATCTTAGACCTAAGACATGGTGTGGACACATATTTAGCTAACGTTGGTCACAAGAGCATTGCAGACGCCTTTAGAAGACCTTGAACAGAATAAACAAGAAGACAAAAAAAGAAAGATGATAATAAAGCCAATTAGAAGAACACAGGTGTGCATTCCACAATAACGGGCACTTGGCACAAAAGAACTCAATTCAGCAGTTTATCTTGACCAATTAGACTGAGACAAGCTTCTCATGTTTAAGCTGATATAACCAATTATATCTTATGCTTATGCGCATGTACAGAGTTGGTATAACCAATTATGTCTTATGTTTATGCACGTGTACAGAGTTGATATAACCAATCACATTTTATGCTTGTGCGCGTGAACAGTGACTTTGCAGAATATGTGACTATAAATATGTGTGTGTTTTAGCAATAAAGGGTCATCTGCTTTCAACTTTACAGCCATCCGTCTACTTCAGTCTCCTCAAATGGTGACCCCGACGTGGTTGCGGGCCAAGAAAACGCTGGAATTGCTGGAAGCGCGTCCGGAGGAGACTCTAGCCGAATGATCATCTAGCCAGCCGGACTGAGAGGACAACCTTCTCCCGGGAGATCAATCACCCTGCTCGTTTGGAAGTAAGGTGAGCGGCTAGAAGGATTAAAATGGGTGCCCAGATGTCTGCGGAAGAAGGAGCAATTGTACAAATGCTTTTGCATATCCTCTCCGTGAGAGGGATTAAGCATGATTACATATGATGCTGAAGTGGCTTAAGGACCACGGTGCCCCCACTTCGAATGCAGAAGTCTTTGAGGTTAAAAATTGGGAAGAAATGGGAAAAGCGATTTGGGACTTTGTATCACGTGGGGACGCAAAGGCTCAGAAGATCTCAGCTACGTGGAGATCGGTGCTGGAAATGTTGAAAGCCCTTAAGGCAGAAAAGGAGGTGGCTGCTGCTGCAAAAATTTCAATTGAAGAAGCCCCGGAAAAAAAGAAAAGTGTGTGTGGTGAGGTGGTAAATAATTCGGACAGTGATGAGGAATTAAACACCGAGGGAGATGTCATTAATGGAGGCAATGATCAACCTTTAAGTAACCTGCCTCTCAAGCAGGGACCTATCCCCTCTGCACCTCCCTATGAGGCAGATACATCCCCAGGAGAAGCTATAAAAAAGCGATGGAAGAACATAAATGATAAAATGTTAATCGAAGGTCTAAATCCTGTGGCTTTTCCAGATACAGTCAGGCAGAATGCCCCAAACGTGTGGCAACCTTTCAATTGGGATTTAATAAAAGAAGTACGGAAAACGGTAATGGCTAATGGACTGTCTGCTCCATTTAGTCAGGCATTATTGGAGAATATATTTTCTGGTCAGATTTTAACGGGCTTTGACTGTACACAGTTGGCTACAATGATTTTAACCCCGACTCAGTGTCTATTATGGAAGGTGAAATGGGCAGAATTATGTGATTTAGCGGCACTAAGAAATTTGGACCGCCCAGAAGGAGATCCGCAGTATATGATCACTACTGCACAAATGATGGGGACTGGTGACTTTGCAGATGTTAATAGGCAAGCAAGGCTACCGGTAGAAGCATTACAAGAATCAGCTTCCTTAGCTCTGAAGGCAATGTTAACCTTGCCTGAAGCTGGAAAGCCAGAACAATCATTTACAAGTATAAGGCAGGGTAATACGGAACCTTATATGTCCTTTATTGATCGTCTGCGAGATGCTATTGAAAAGCAAATAGATAATGCTGATGCCAAAGAAGCATTGATAATAAAACTGGCCGTGGAAAATGCAAATGCAGACTGTAGAAAAATACTACAATCGATGCCAGGAAGAGTGACACTAGTAGATATGATAGAGGCCTGTAACAAAGTTGGGTCTTTGGAGCATAAAACTACATTAATGGCCAATGCTTTTGCTGTAGCCATGCAAATGGATACAAAAAATGTTAAGAAATGCTATAAATGTGGACAACCAAGACATTTGCAATTTCAGTGTAAAGAGGGGCGAAACAAAGTGGAAGTTGGGCTTAATATATGCCCTCGTTGTCATAAAGGGAGACATTATGCTAACCAATGTAGATCTTGTTTCACAAAGAAAGGTGTAGCTCTGCGACCTCGAGGTACCCCATTGCCAAGAAACTACAAGAAGAGTGCAAGGAGTGGTGCGATGACCCCAACAGCTCCGAAAGGATCCCAGAATGGCACCAGGAAGGATGTCTGGCAGAATTGCCAGCCCGAACAGCTGGAAGTGCCGGAGTGGATGTCTCAACAATAGAAACCATTCTACTATGGAACTCTCAGAAAACGGGCCAAAGTGGATTCCAACTAAATGGACGAAACCTTATGCTGAGATTGATATGGAACGCGCTGACTGTAGTAAGCAGCGTGACAGTGACACTGGTGATTGATCCACATCGTTTAACGCCGTGGGACAGTAAGAATGTTTGGGTGACCCTGGCTAAAGCTATTAACAAAACCTCTTTTTGTGTGTCATTGGCACTACCTGAACAGCCTTTTCATACATGTTTGGTAGGAGTACCGTTAAAGAACAGTGCAATGGTGCTCCAGGGAGTCAATGGGTCCAGATCGGCCACCCGCAATCGGGCCTGTAATACTACAGAGTCAGGTGGGCGCCTCTGTAGCACTACAGAACAATGTGTAGAAAACTGGGACAAATGGAAGGACTTGCTGCCTAAGGCAACCCAATGAACCCCAGGAATTGAACATTTTACGAAGTCTGGGAACCCCAAAGTGTATTTACTTTAAGCCTCCTTATGGAACAGAAGGACAAGACATAACTCCCGAAAAGCCTTTGTTTAAAAATGCATCTCTTTGGTGTAACAAAACAGCCACTAATAAGTCCCTAGGAGTTGCAGAACCTCAAAAACTGCCTCCGGGAGTGTTTTTGATATGTGGAGATAGAGCTTGGCCTGGACTCCCTTCCAGCGGGAGGGGAGGGCCTTATACATTGGGAAGATTAACTTTGCTTACTCCAAATGTTAGCATGATTTTTAAATCATACTAATTTACATAGATGTAAGTGAGATATTTTAACCAACAAGTGTGATGATAACGTGGATTTATGGAATAGGGGAGAGATCATTGCAGCTAGCCTATTAACCCCCGGTGTAGCAGCCGCAGGAGCTTTAACGCAATTAAGAAAGCTGTTGTGTTGGTTAGGCAAACAGACAGATCAAACTGCAAGACTACTGAGTGATTTGGCATCTGACATTCAATCGATCAGACACACCACTTTACAGAATCGGGCTGCTATTGATTTTTTGCTATTAGCTCATGGGCATGGATGTCAGGATTTCAATGGAATGTGTTGTGTGAATTTGTCAGATCATTCAGAATCTATACATAAAAGTATTCAGAAGTTAATGGATCAGACAAAGAAATTGCAAGAAGATGATGGTTTTTTTGGCTTAGAGCATTTAGCTGCGGGATGGGGACTTGAGAGTTGGTTTGTATCTTTGTTAAAAATCGGGCTTTTATTCTTATGTATTTTATTAGGTATAATGTTGCTTTTACCATGTTTAATTAATTGTGTTCATAGGTCTTTGCAAAGGGCAATACAGCAGGTGTTAATTGTCAAAAAACAAAAAGGGGGAATTGTGGACACATATTTAGCTAACGCTGGTCGCAAGAGCATTGCAGATGCCTTTAGAAGACTTTGAACAGAATAATCAAGAAGACAAAAAAAGAAAGATGATAATAAAGCCAATTAGAAGAACACAGGTGTGCATTCAACAATAAAGGGCACTTGGCACAAAAAAACTCAATTTGGCAGTTTAATCTCGACCAATTAGACTGAGACAAGCTTTGCATGTTTAAGTTGATGTAACCAAATATATCTTACGCTTATGCGCATGTACAGAGTTGATATAACCTATCATATTTTATGCTTGTGCACGTGTACAGTGACTTTGCAGAATATGTGACTATAAATATGTGTGTGTTTTAGCAATAAAGGGTCATCTGCTTTCAACTTTACAGGCGTCCATCTACTTCAATCTCCTCAACATGGGAGTAAGTGATTAACTTTAGACTAAGATAAATTAATAGAATAGCCTGAGTGATTTTCAGAAATTCAAAGGTCATCTTTGATGTGTAAGAAGATAAGTGATTGTGGTGACCGAAGACCTTCTGCCTATGACCACTAACTTCAGAAGAACCGGGACACAAGAATTGATGAGATAAAATGATGAATGATAACGACATGGGAACAGAGATCGACTGGAAAATCACAAAGACTTTGGACTGGGACAATGGGTGGTAAAAAGGTATATGACATTGGGAAATTTTTGGAAGGTTGCCATTCACTGCGGTGGTGACCCAACTCTGAGTTGTTAATAAAGCAAACCTAGAGAAACACACATTTGAAAATTCTTTAACAGTCCTGTACCACATAGCTTTTAAAATTTCCTTTCTGTTTCTCGGTTTTAGTTTGCTATCTTTATTTTTTAATTCTTTCCTGTCTGTCCTGTACCCTATCACTCTTTACAGTTTCTATGTCTACTTTAACCTATCCACTCTCTTTATATTTTACGTTTTTCCTGCCATGTAGCCTCATTTTAGTTTGTTGTGGGTATTTCTTAATTTTTTCCTTATTTCCTCAATCCCCGTTGCTTTTAAAATTTTCTTCCTACTTTTATTCTGTTCACTGTCTTTATTTTTTAATTAATTCTTGTCTTTCCTTAGTGCCCGCGCTTTTAAAATTTTCTGTCTATGTCTGTGTTTTAGTTTGCTGATGCTATTTTTTAGTTCTTTCCACTCTTAATCAACTGGCTTTTTAAAATTTTCTACATTTAACTAGTTCACAGTCTTTACTTTTTATTTTTCCCCTTGATTTTCCTTAATGCCATTGCTTTTTAAAATTTGTTTTCTACTTCTTTTTAGTTCAATGTCGCTATTATTTAATTTTTCACATTTCCCTAATGCCTACTGCTTTTTATATGTTCTTGCTATGCCTATGTTTATTCCCTTTGCTGTCTTTTTTTAATTATATCTTGTCTTTTGATAGTGCTGTTGCTTTTTAAATGTTCTTTCTATGTCTCTGCTTTAGTTCGCTGTTCCTATTTTTTAATTTTTCCCTAATCCCCCTCACTTTTTAAATTTTCTACTTGTATTCTGTTCACTGTCTTTTATTTCACTGTGTTTTCTTTTCATTATTTCTTGTCTGTCCTTAGTGCCCTTGTTTTTAAAATTTTTTATTCTACATCTGTCCTAGTTCACCATGGCTATTTCTTAATTTTTCCTTATTTCCTTAATCCCTGTTGCTTTTTAAGTCTTTTTTTTCCCCCCTACATTTATCTTGTTTGCTGTTTTTTCTTCATTATTTCTTGTCTTTCCTTAGTGCCTTCATTTTTAAAATTTTCTTTCTATTTCTGTGTTTTCATTTGCTATCAATGTTGTTTAATTCTTTCATTTCTTAATCCTTTGGTTTAAAAAATGTTGCTTCTATTTGTGCTTTTATCTAGTTGGCTGTCCCTCTTTTTAGTTCTTTCCTGTCTGTTCTGTACCTCATCATTTTTTAAATTTTCCTTCTATGCCTACTTTTGTCAAGCTCCCTCTCCTTATTTTTTAATTCTTTCCTGCCTGACATGTAGCCTGTTGCTTTGAAAATGTCCTTTGTATGTCTCTGTTTATTTATTGTCCCTATTTTTAATTTTTTTGTTTACTTCTCCTACTCCTTGTTGCTTTTAAAATGTTCTGTGTGCTT